TCCCTTTGCTGTGTAATTTTGCGGTGCCCTCCTGCTGTAGCGCTCGGCTCGGCGGGTGCCGAGCCGGGATTGGCGGGGCCCAGCTCAAAATGAAAGTGCGAGACCTCTTGTTCAAAAAGCAGCAAATAAGTGCCATTACGACGACTTCAACATTGAGCTTTTTCCTTTCTTCCACAGTCTCTCCCTCTCTCTCTCCACTTGTCATGGCGTTTTTTATTTGCTGTTTAATGTCATTCTAAATAGAGAAAAATGTAAAATTATTAGCTTGAATTTTACACTTCATCTTTCTATTTTGCAAGAAGTGACACCTGAGGCCGGGACATCTGTGCAAGTTTGTGAGGCAGGGACCCCTGTGCAAAGATAAATATGCCGTGTCTCCCCTGGGCTCAGGATTTCTCGAGTATGGACGCAGTGGCATCTTTATCTTTGAATCCTCGTGCTGGGCACGGGACCTGGCACACAGTAAGCAATAAATATATATTTAAGGGAGAAAGGGAGGGAGGGAGGAAGCAAATGAGTTTGAAAATCAGTTTTGCTTGTAAGAATGTGGAAAAATTGGCACACTCATGCATCACTGGAGAGAATGTAAAATGGTGCATCCACTTTGGAAAACAGTCTGGCCGGTCCTCAAAAAGTCAAACATAGAGTTCCCGTATGAGCCAGCAACCCCACACCTAGGTGTATTCCCAAGAGAATTGAAAGACTATGTTCACACAAAAATTTGTGCATGAATGTTCATAGCAGCGTTAGTCATAATAGCTAAAAAGTGAAAACAACTCAAATGTGCATCAAGTGATGAATGGCTAAACAGAATGTAGTCTGGCTATATAATGGAATATTATTCACCAATAAAAAGAATGAGGTACTGATTCATGCTACACCATGGATGACCCTTGAAGACATGATGCTAAGTGAAAGAAGCCAGACACAAAGGACCACATACTGTAGGATTCCATCCGTGTGAAATGTCCAGAGTAGGCAACTCCATAGAGACAGAAAGCAGACTCGTGGTTGCCAGGGGCTGGGCAGAGGGGAGAATGAAGAATGACTGCTAACGGGTACAGAGTTCCTTTTAGAGTGATGAAAATGTTTTGGAATTAGATAGTGACGATGGTTGTACAACTTCATGAATATACTAAAAACCACTGAATTTTATGGTATGTGAAGTATATCAAAAAAATGGTAAGTTCTGCTTCGGTCCATTTCTTACTACTGGATGACCTTTGAAAAGTTATGTAACCTCTCTGAACTTCAGTTTCCTCAACCGTAAAGTGGGAGAAATAATATTTAACATGTAGAATTGTTTGTGAGGGTCAAGTTAGATATTAAATGTAAAGCAGGTTGCGGTCTTCAAGCTCTCTGCTGTTACCCGCTGCCCTCACCGTCGCGGAGGGTCTCTGGCAGGATTCAGGGCAAACTGACACAAAGAGGTCCCTCACTCACCTTCTACCCCAGGGGAGTAGAATGTGGAGGAATATTCAGCGAGGGAGTGGGGGGATCAAAGTTCTGTTCCTCCTCCTGTAAGCGGATGCTCTCCTGCTCTGCCCTGGGGATGGTCAGATGAAGCTGGATGAAGCTTCTTCTTGGGAGGGGCTGTCTGCCTTGGAGGGACCAGGTGAGACCTAAGAGAAAAGGGGCTAGGACACTGGCTCCCCATGCTTGGCTGGCCTCTAGGCTATAAGGGGCAGAGTAACAGGACTTCTCAGGATTTCTGCTGGCCTAGCCTCCCTCAGCACCTTAGTGTGGAAGAAAGTGTAAACAGTGTGCATGATTTCTTGCTGGACCCAGACAGTCAGCAGGAAGACTGTTTCAGGGAGGAGAGAGGAGCCCCAGTGTCTGGCACAGCCACGGCCGAACAGACCCATGCAGCACTCCTGGCAGCAAGGATCAGATGCCTATTCAAACGGAATGCTCTTGAATTGTAGTTGCTCAAAATTATTTAGTCAGGGTGAGGGGTGTTGATAAGGAATGCTTTCGTATGTCCACCAGAGGGCGCGGTCTGCCTCTTTGGTGGCCACAGGAGTGTTCCGGAAGAAGTATGTGCGGAGGTAACTGGTACCATGTGACCAATTTATTATAGGAGTTTTAACAGCATGAAAGTGATTCCCAAACTATACTTCTAATCTTAAACTTCCCTCCAAACTCTGGTCCTACATTTTCAGTCTTCTGTTTCCTATTTCTGCCTGGATGTTCTGCTGACACACAGAGCTCACTAGGCCCCAAGCTGAGCTCATCTTCCCTCCCAAACAGAGTTTCTTATCTCAGCGTATGGACCTAGGACAGCCAGTTGTGTTCTGCAGAATGTGAACTGCAAAAGCGTCCCCGGCTGAAACGCAGTCACACTCTGCTGGCCGAGTCACGCCCTCGGGAGAAAGCAGCATCTTTTTCTACTCCGCACAAGGGCACCATAATGGCGAGTAGCAGTCCCAGGCACCGCTCTCAACTCAAGGACTCAACTCGGTCATTTGCATATAGGTGCTTTGCCCTATTCCATGTCTGCCACCATCCCTGAATGTCAAAATCATATTTTTTTCCTGAAGATCCATCGCAAATGTTGCCGCTACCATGAAACCTTCTCTGAACTGCTTCCTCTCCTGCACTCCCACCAACCAAGTCAGCTCTTCCCCATCTGAATTTTCAAAGCACCTTACCATATTTTTACTGCAGCATTTACCCCTTTCTGCCTCGCACTCAGCTTTTGTGTGTGTGTGGTAAAAAACACATAACATGAAATTTACCGTCGTAACTATGTTAAGTGTACAGTTCACTAGTGTTAAGTATGTTCACACGGTTGTGCAACAGAGCTCTCGAAGTTTTTCATCTTGCAAAACTGAAACTCTGGACCCAATAACACTAATTCCCCCAGCCCTGGGTAACCACCTTTCTACTTTCTGTTTCTATGACTTTGACTGCTCTAGATACTGCTTATAAGTGGAATCATACTGTATTTGTTCTCTTAGGACTGGCTTCTTTTGCTTAGTATAATGTCCTTGATGTTCATCCATCTTGTAGCATGTGACAGGATTTGCTTCTTTTTTAAGGCTGCATAATATTCCGTTATGTGATGGACCACATTTTCTTTATCCATTCAGCTGTCAATGGACGTTTGGGTGGATTGCTTCCACCTCTCAGCTATTGTGAATCATTCTGTGATGAACATGGGTGTGCAAATATCTCTTCGAGATCCTGCTTTGAATTCTTTTGGACATATACCCAGATATGATAGCATATGATATGGTAGTTTTATTTTTAATTTTTTGAGAAACGTCCATACTGTTTTCCATAATGATCACACCATTTTACATTCTCACCAATGGCACACAAAGGTTCCAAATTCTTCGCATCCTCATCAACACTTGCTATTTTCTGTTCTTTTCCTAATGACACCTAGCTATTTCAGTACAAGTTGCTGTATTAGCTTCCTAGGGCTGCTGTAACAAATAACCACAAACTGAGTGGCTTTTCACAACAGAAATTTATTCTCTCATAGTTCTGTAGGCCAGAAGTCCAAAATGAAAGTGTTGGCAGGGCTGGTTTGCCCTAAAGGCTCTGAGGGAAACTCCGCTCCATGCCTCTCTCCTGGTCTCTGTGGCTCCTGACAACCCTTGGCATTCCGTGGCTCGTAACAGCACGACTCTAATCGCTCTCTGCCTCCATCTTCATGTGGCCACCTTTCCTGTGTCTTCTTTTCTGTCTCTTATAAGCACACTTATTGGATTTAGGCCCACCCTAATGAGGTGGGGGACACAATTCAACTCACTACAGTTGTCATTGCTAGACTAAGCTCCTTGAGATCAGGATCTGTTTTGTTCATATTTGTCTACCCCCAGGTGCCTAGTACAGTGCCTTAAACATAGAAAGTATTCAAAATGCTTATTGAGTTAATAGGTTGATGGATTAACGTTTGGGCCGATGATAGATATTGTCTAACCTGTTGGATTGACACGTGATGTGGTCAGAATTGGGAAGTGTGCATTGGGAATCCCCATACCCCATAGAAACTTGATAATCATTCCCGGGATGACTTAAAAAATACAGTGCACAGAACTCGATGAAGAACCACTCATGGCTTCATAGCCATGTAGCCTAAATGAAAAACTTATCCCAATCCTTGCAAATATATCCCAGATGAAGCCTGTCTGGCCTTGGGAGATTAAGGTAAACCTGGCTGAAACCCTGAGTTTCACAATGAGAGTCCACAGCCCTCCCCATAATCTCTGCAAATTCTCAACTCTCTATTTCATGGTCCTGATTTGTTGTCCCTCTGTGTGTTCTTGATTCCTCGACTTGCCAGAGGTCACACCCTTTACCAGATGCTACACAAGATCCCCAACTCGCCTCGTACCACGTGCGTTTTGTAAGTTTAGAACTTTACTAAAGGTTTGGGGGTTACACAGCACTCCCCCAGTCTTCAGCCATCTTGAGCACTCCACTCTCTCCTTGCCCTACTTTTCTCTTTCCCCTCCCTCTCTGGTTCCAAACACAGATTCCTTTCCTTGTCTCCTGCCAGGCAGTTCTGCTCATACTTCCACCTCTTGCCATCTCCGCTTCTACTCTCAACAGGCTTATTTTAAAAGTTTAAGGAAGGAAGGCAAGCAGAAAAGAGAGAAAGGGAGACAGCAAGGGAGGGAGGAAAGAGAGAGAGAGGGGGAGAGGGGAGAAGTGAGAAAGGGGTGGGGGAGGGAGGGAGGTGGGGAGAGAGAGAGAAAGAGAGAGAGAGAGAAAGAAAATAAAGAAAAAAGAAAGGGGCCTTCTAAGAAAAATTCGCATACCAGCTATTAAAATAATATTATTTTCTTTTCTTGTATTTTATAAATATTAATAATATGTTAAAGTTGGAAGCCCTTTGAGTGGGGAAGGAAATTTAACAACAGCTTTTGGTCCATTTGCCCAAACCTTGGCCTTCTCAAGTTTACATTTAATTATAATTGCAACCGTCACGATGATTAAGCCTCTCCCTTTGTCATTGTCTTTTCTTGGCATCGGTTCTTTGGCTCGGTTTGCACGCTATAGACCTCAGATGAATCACAGAGAAGCTGTGCTTTTTAACTGTGGCGAAACCATAGGCAGCTTTTTGTTTCTTCCCAGAATCAGTTCCAAAGCAGCTGTTAAATGTTCATCCTCGGTTTTGCCATCTTATTTCAGGGAATTGTAACAGCAGCATCTTCTGTTTTTAATTCTCCTGAAGAAAGAGAAAAAGAGCTCCCCAAGTTGGTGTGCTGCGCGTAGGTGCTGGTTAATGACTTATTTCCTCTCATTTCCTTAATCAGGAAATTTCAGAGTTCAGCAGCCGCAGGGTTCCCATGAACGTGGCTCTGACCTAAGCCAAGCTGTGTGAAACACTCGACCATGAAAACAGCTTGCTCTGCAAACCTCTGACTGTTCCAAACTGAGGCCGACCAGAAGCTTCCATTTGACACTGCGGTGAGGAAAGCTTGTAAATTTTTCATGGTTAGTGATGGTTCCTTCTCTAGTAGAATCAATCAGCTGAAAAGTAAGACATTAAGTCGTCGATCAACTGGTAGTTTGGAAATTGGCTGGTGGGTTTTACTTTAGGGAGATTTCCTTCTGAAAAACTGCCGTTGAATGATGGACACACTTAATACCTTCTGGTATGAAAAAGGACTCAGGAACATCAAGACAAATTTTGCCTTATGTAGGTGCAAGATATTGCTTAGTTTAGACTCATTGCTTGAAGGCTGCTTACCAAAATGGTCATTTTTAAATCTCATGAGCCGTGTTTAAATTGCTTTTTACCAGTGGTTTTCGCGCCCTAGCTGCACATTGGAATAACCTGAGGAGAGCTTTGAAGGAAAAACACTGGTAACCGGACCCTCTCCCAAAGATTTTGACTCATTGGTCTCGAGGGCAGCCTGGACATTGGTCTTTTAAAAGCACTCTCCAGGAGATTCTAAGCCGCGGCTTTCTGAAAATCACAACTGCAAACAATCTTTGAAACCTGTTCGTTCTGTGTGGGCACATACATTGCGATGGTGCACGTGGCAGTACGTCAACTCCTTTTATAACTGCCTGTCTTTTAAGTAATATTTGTTCCCCTTCTATCAGAGATAAATTAGCCCACGACAAATAATCTTTGGTAAGCCTCGCGCTCACTTCTGCATTTCTCTCTCTTCTGTTTGCCCTGCACAGCTATTTCGTTCTTCTTTCTCTGCAGATCAGCTTTCTGCACACCTGCCACTCACGGTTTCTGAGCTTTTACATCTGTGCTGTCCTAGAACCCAAATGGAGCTTGAGTCTCGCAGAACTGAACTTCCTGATTTCCTGAGAAAGAGATTCTGATGGCCCTAGCTTGGGTTAGGTGCTCAACTGTAGCCAATGAGATGGGAATACATATACAAACACTCCCTCCAACGGGGAACACGTTGAAAAATGGGGGCGAGGGTGAGGGAGTCTGGAGGGAAAGTTCCAGATAACGGGAAATCACTGGCTTTTTGGCTGGTTAGACACCTCGAAATATATCCACTAGAGAATTCAAGCTGTCTACTGGGGCATGCTCATCCTCACCCCCTCCTGGCTGTCTTTTCTACTTGTTCCTTACGACTAGTTTATCTCCAGAGGATCCAGGCTTTCGGCTGATTCTTTAATTCCTGGATGCTGCCAGGCGTTGAACTGGCCCCGTATGGGGGCAAAAGAAGGAAGAAGAGAAGTACTTTTATGCCGCAGAAAGATGAATTTTGGATCAAGGAAAGAATAAGTATATTTTAAGCATCAAAGCATGACAAATTATTTCTAAGAGGTGAATTGGATTAAGAAAAGAATAAATACGTACTAAGCCTGAAAGCTCGATGGGTTATTGAAAGTTGCTGCCTTTGAGTCATTTTTTCAGACTAAATGACTCAGCCACCAAGAGATTCTTTTGTTATGTGATCAATCTTACTTATTGCTAATATGGCAAGTTCAGATGATGATGTATTTCTGATTGAATGTCGCATTGATGAAGCAGCCTGTTTCTCTGTCCTATGCCCACTTTTATGAAGCATTGTCTTCCAAAATTGATACTTGAATCTATAGAAGAAGACCTGTCAATATATTTGAATAAAAAATAAGTGGTTGAATTTGGATGTAGGATTTTAAGTTTTTGTGGAACAATGTCATGCAAGATAGAAGAATAGACATGTAAAAAGTTTTCCTTAAAGGCCATATGGTATACTGGTTAATATTCTGGGCTTTACCCTGGTTTCTGCCTCTTTACTAGCTGTGTGATCTTCAACAAAATAGTTAATTTAGTTTTTTTAAATTTTTTATTTTTTTAATTGCAGTAAAATTGGATTATAACATTATATAGCTTTCAGATGTACATTATAATATATTTTGAATTCTGTGTAGATTATATCATGTTCCCCACCCAAAAACTAATTATAATGCATCCCCTCACACGTGAGCCTAATCACCCCTTCTGCCCTCCCCACCCTTCCCCTATGGTAACCACCAATCCAATCTCCATTGCTATGTGTTTGTTTGTCGTTGTTTTTATCTTCTACTTATGAGTGAGATCATATGGTATTTGACTTTCTCCCTCTGACTTATTTCACTCAGCATAATACCCTCAAGGTCCATCCATGTTGTCACAAATGGCCGGATTTCATCATTTCTTATGGCTGAGTAGTAGTCCATCGTGTATAAATACCACATCTTCTTTATCCATTCGTCCCTTGATGGGCACCTAGGTTGCTTCCAAGTCTTGGCTATTGTGTATAATGCTGCAATGAACATAGGGGTTCATGCATCTTTTTTTTATAGCTGAGTAGTATTCCATAGTGTATAAATACCATATCTTCTTTATCTATTCATCCCTTTATGGGCACTTAGGTTGTTTCCAAGTCTTGGCTATTGTGAATAATGCTGCAATGAACATAGGGGTGCATGTATCTTTATGCCTGTGTGTTTCCAAGTTCTTTGGATAAATACCCAGCAGTGGAATAGCTGGATCATGTGGTAGATCTATTCTTAATTTTCTGAGGATACTCCATACTGCTTTCCATAGTGGCTGCACCAGTTTGCACTGCCACCAGCAGTGTACAAGGGTTCCCTTCTCTCCAATATTTAATTTCTTATAAAATAGGAATAATAACAGTACTTGCCAATGAAGAGTTGGGTGAGGTTTACTTGAAATAATGGATTGTGTCAGTTAAGGATTGTGCTGGACTGCAAACAACAGAACCCCTGACTAATAGTAGCTTCAGCAGACTGAGGGATTAGTTTTACTCGCTCACCAAGAAGCCCAGAGGTAAGTAGTGCTGGCCTTGGTTAAGGGGCTCAAAGATTTCAGAGCTGAGGTCTTTGCAGTTCCCATATCCTTTCTCTCCTGATCCCAAGGTAGCTGCTGCAGCCACAGCCATCACATCCATATTCCTAACTGCAAAGAAAAAAAAAAAAAAAGGAAAGGGTGATGATTAAATCAAGAGAGCAAAACTTTTCCCAGATGTTTGAGTCAGGGCAGGCTAAGTGCTGTAACAAACAAGCTGCTCATCACTGGGTTAACACAATAGAAGTTTATTTCTCACTCTTGCCAAGGTCAATTGATAGCAGAGGGTGGGGGTTTGGGGAGAAGATAGGATGCAGCTCTGCTCAGTGCATCATGCAAGGACCAACTTGGAATATGGGGCTTCCAGGATCATACTAGGCATGAACATCCTGCCAGTATACAAAGGAAGACAGAGCGTGGAGAATTGTGTAGGAAGACTTATGGAGTAGGTCTAGAATCGGGGTACTATATTTTTGTTCACGTTTTATTGGCCAGACTTCAGTCACATGCGTTCGTATAGATGTAAGGGGAGCCAGAAAATATAGTCCCTGAATGCACAGTTCCGCCCCGCAGAGTCTCTATGCCATGGAAGGGGAATATGAATCTTTGGGAGTACAGCTGTCTCTGTCACATTGGAGATCCATAGTGACTTCTACATAAATTTTATTGCCCAGAACCATGGCATTTGATCACCCCTGCCTGAGATAAAGGATGGGAAGTGTAATTTTCAGCCAGTACCATTGCAACCCTGAATGGCTTAGGTTTCTCTTAGTGAGGAAGAAAATATTGTGTAGGCAACTAGCAGTGTCTGCCACATGTCAGAAAAGTGCTTAGCACAGTGCCTGGCGCTTGGTAAATTGTTCAGTAAATGCTAGCTGTTGTCGTTGCTGTGATAGCTTTCTTAAGGAAACGTGCTATCTGACACAGCTGTCTCTCCTGCTGTGAGTTGCTCACTCGGCACTCTGGTTTATCGAGTGCTGAACCTGGAATTGGACGACCTGGGTTTAGATCCCGGCTAGGCCCCTTACTATCTTCTCTGAGCCTCAGTTTCTTTATCGAAAATATGGGAAGGGTTGATCCTGACTTGCAAGTTTGTTATGTGGATTAACTGAGACAATGGGCAAGAATGGGCTAAAAGCATTATTTCAAAATACGTTCTACATACACAATATTAAAACAGAATCTCAAGTGGAGTCAACCCAAATGCCCATTACATTCATTTGCTAGGACTGCAGTAACAAAGTACCACGAACTGTGTGGCTTAAAACGTAGTGGTTTATTCTCTGTCAGTTCTGGAGGATAGAAGTCTGAAATCAGGCTCCCTCTGTAGGCTCTAGGGAAGAAGGGTTCCTTTCCTCTTCTAACTTCCGGTGGCGCTGGCTCTCCTTGGTGTCCCTTGGCTTGCAGCTGCATCGCTCCAGTCTGCCTCTGTTCTTCCATGGTGCCCTCCCTGTGTGTCTCTTTTCCTCTAAGGACACCAGGTATATCAGATTAAAGACCCACCCTACTCCAGTATGACCTCGTCTTAACTAATTACGTCTCCTATGACCCTATTTCCAAATAAGGTCACATTTTTGAGGTACTCGGGGGTTAGGACTTCAACATTTCATTTAGAGGGGGACACAATTCAATCCAATCAATCCAATCAAATGGTGAGCGGATAAATAAAATATGGTGTATCCGTATAATAGAATATTACTTGCCAATAAAAAGAAAGTACTGACCTTGAAAACATCATGCTAAGTGAAAGAAGCTAGACATAAAAGGTCACATATGGTATTGTTCTATTTATATGAAATGTCCAGGATAGGCAAATCCATAGAGACAGAAAGTAGCATAGTGATTCCTTAGGCCTGGGGGAAGGGGGATTCGAGAGTGACTGCCAAAGGGTACAGGCTTCCTTTTAGGGGGGACAAAAATGTTCTAAAATTGACTGTGATGATAGTTGTGCAGAGAAAATAAGCCTCCGCCATTTTAAATAAGTTTAGGCCTCTAACCTTCTATAAATTACATTTCCAGGGTCCTAAAAGAACCTATACATGTCATCCTCTAAATGCTGCTGGAAAGCTGAAAAGAATCACGTGTTTGGGAGGAAGTAAATACAACTTTTCAGGAGGAGGCGACTTAGCTGGCCAAGGGGATTGGTGAGAACGGACACCAATTAGTCAGTTCTCTAATCAATCAGTGTCGTCTAATTCCATGCACCTGGAAGTCTCCTTAATTAGGAACGGAGTGAGTTCCTTGATTTACTGTGAGGATAGCATCCTGTAGCTTGACTTATCTTGACTTAGCTCAATCTTTAGCCCTCCGACACCATTGGCAGGAGTAACCCCACTGTTTTCTTTTCCTTTCTTTTCTTGAACCTAAATTTGCACATAAGTGTTCACTTCACAGGTCAACTTTGGCAAGCCATTCAAGGCCCTGTGTGAAAGTTTCCATGAAATTAGCCCTGCAATGTCACGAAATGATACTAAAATTGGAGACATCTCTTCTATTATTACCAGACTGTTACTTAAACTTGTATTTTCATTTATATTTCCCATAGCATCTAAGTATTTCCATTTCATCCTCCAGATAGGAGGGGGCAGAATCTCATTTTTACATGGAGAGAAGGCAGCTGAGAGCTGATGTTTTGGTCTTGCATACTGCCACGTTCCTGGCCCGGGGCTGGGGGCTGTCTGAGATACAAAGAGGAGTAAGACGCAGCCCTGCTCTCAAGGATCTCTGAATCTGGTTGAGGACAGTGTGAATGGTGAGTGAAGTAGAAAGAACTGGTGCCACTGAGATTTGTGACTCCAGCTGCCTCCCAAACTGGCCTGTGTTCCTTGTGTGTACATCTTTATGTCCCTTTCTGGGTTTTTAATAATTTCGCCACTTTCTCTATGTGCGTCATTCCAAAGAAAGTTTCTCTGGGTCTCTCTTCTTCTTCCCTCCACCTTCCCCTTTCAATTAGTAATACTTCTTTTTGGGGTGACTCTCTCCTGCTCCCTCTAAGCCTCCAAATCAGTAGGCCATTTCTCGTTTCCAGCTGCCCAGGGTTGAATACAAATGCCTGCTACATTAACAGGAAGAAAATGGAACTGAAAGAAAGTTTGCCTAATTTGTAAAATAAAAATGAGTTTCGATCCCAGGAGCTTATGTGTTATTCTCATAAGGACTGGGTTTACATCGATCATCTTTTCCATGGCAGTCAAGTGTGGAATGTGGTGGAGTTAGAAACGTAATTGTGTAGACATAAAAAATTGCATCTCTATAACCATCATCGGGACACTTTTCTCAAGATGCTATCTCGATGTCCTTCAGAGAAATAACTGTATCAATTGAGAATGTAACAGAAGCAACTTAAATATTATGTCTCGTTTACTCCTGGTAAGGCTAATGTGCTTCAGAGCAAGACTATTACTCGTGACATAAGGTAGTCTCAGAGAGGCTGGAAATGCTTCAAGACCATTAAAATAAAATGCCAGCCATTCCTGCTGTTCAAATATTCTTTAACTTCTAATTTAAGGCACTAACACCTAAGAATGTAATTGTGTTATTCTCTCTGATAGCTGGAATCTATGTAAGCCAAATGCCTGGGAATTATGGACTATTGGGGCTACGGGAGTCCAGAAGACAAACGAGGTGGATAAAATGTGTTATTTTATACTGGCACGTTCAACATTTGTGCTCCGTTGTCATTTATGTGTTAAAATGTCTTCGAGGATGAAAGCGCCTGACGTGGTTTTCCTCAGCTGAATTGCAGAAGAGGTTGGGGAAATGCATAACGCACCTCGAGATCGAAACTCAGAAATCTGAGAGAGAGAGAAAGCTCACACACCTGTGCTCAGAATTATTTTCCACACTACATTTTCCCTGGAGTTGACTGTCCATTTTTGAATCAGGAAGTTGTCCTCTTGATGAAGCAGCCCCCAGCCTGCTAACTCACAATTCTCTCCCTGATGAGCAAGTGGGCCACAGTTTGAAAAAGGCATGTCGGAGCAGAAAAGGGCAATTTTAAAAGCCAATGCTGTGAGAGGTGACGCTTCCCCATCACACGGGGAAATGATTTCTGTTTAATGCCTGCCTTGGGAGGGGTACACTTCAGGTTCAGGGACCCCATTGGCACATCAGGACTTTGACTGGGACACGGTGCCAATTCAAACTGTCACACAGTACGAGGAGGGAAAAAAAAAAGCCTAAATCAGCTTCTATTCTTTAATAGAAAGCAATACTGTAGTTTAAATTAGCAAGGCGCTGCTGAACCACTATTTAAAATACGTTTGCACTGACATCCCAAGAAAAGGGTTTTTTTCTTGTTTAATTGCACTGTCAGTGTGGAACGCTTTCACTTAAAACCATTCTGAGGTAGACCTTTTAATAGAAAGTGACAATTTAAATTGCCATGATAGCAGCGTAAATGGTGCTTAAAGTCATTACTAAACTGATGTCGCAGTTGGCTCCAGACCAGTTTGTTAAAGCCAAAGAAAAGGTGTTGGGGGAAGGGAGGAAAGTAACTAAATGGTGAATCATTAATTCCTTTTATATTCATTGTAATAACATTAGCTGTGATGAAGTCATCTGGCTCCCAATGGCTGTAACGTACATTTCTATTGAAGTCCATATTATTCCATTCTAACGTTGCCCTGATTAATGCGTATAACTGAGGAATTGCTCCAGTCACAGGCACTTGCTTCTCTGCAGTTACTTTGTTTTCTTGTCTTCAACCCCATGGCCCAAAGAGAGGAGCTGTGGCTTCCATTTGCTGGTTGGAGTTCAGAAGCAAAAGTGCTAGATTTATCTATCGCCTTTCTGTACTCTCCCTTAAATAAGTCAGATTCTCCTGGTGGCCATTGAAAATGACTCTTGCTAGTCTTCAAGGAGTGCTGTCCCCAGAGCTGAAGGTGTTATGTGAGTTGAGGTCAAGGCCACCTGAGTGGTGTCGTTGGTCAAACTTGATTGGTTCAACCAAACCAACTGCTTTGCCAAACCAGTAAGGCCACATCTAGGGACCCAGTGGGTGGGGGCACCATGAAGTCTCGGGCAGTATTGGATCTGTGAGCCTGGAAAGGAGCTTCATAGGTGGGTTAAGGTTGAGTTTGGAGCACTGGGGACAATGGGAGGGATGGATGAGGAACAGAGAAGCCTGTGGGATCGAGGGCCACTCAGTCACCTTCACAGTCTATCACCCAGTTGTCTCGGTTCTGAAACATACTCCCTTAAAAGTAAATTAATCATTTGGTTGTTTGGGTACAATAGGCAAACTAGTTTATTATAGAATTACCATTTAAAAATATACTGCAACCTACAACTAGTATATACAACTATGGACTGGGGGCTTTGGGGGAAATATATAATATACTGCACATTCCTTTTTATTATGTAAAAATTACTGCTAAGAATCAAACATTGTAATTGGGCTCACAGTAGGGAAACATACTTCACATTTTAAACTTAAAACATTATATTTAGGGCAGGGTTTCTAAATAGTTTCCTCAGGCCATACTATTTAAGGGCTCTGGGAGTGACTCTATACCCTTCAAATTTTCCCTAAATCAGACATTACAATTTCTGAAATTTCCATCACTAAGAATTGGAAATGACCATGGTGATCATGTTGGGGCATGATATTAGGGTCTTAATTTGGGCCTGTGGGTGAGTTGCAGAGAGACCTTGAAAACAATACACAGATTTTTGTGTAGCTCTGCATTACAAGGAGAGAGAGTTCATTTCTTTCATCAGAATTTCAAAGGAGTTTGCTAACCAAAAAATAGTTAAAAACCATTAATCCAATCTTACTTTACTACAAACCAGAAAACAGAGGCCCAGAGAGGTGGTTGACTTCTCAAGGTCACACTGATAGCTCTTGGCTGGTCTACAGAATCCTGGTTTCTGATTCCCAGTCCAAAATTGCCTTTTTAATTTTTCGCAATTCTTCTTCCTTTTGCAAAACCATGGATACTGCAATGCTGTGCTTTCTGAAAGCTGCTCTCCTGGCAACCTCAGCTCCCTGGACCACAACTGTCCCTGGCAGGGGCAGAAGAGGCCTCAGAGCCACTGAAATGACTGCCGTGATGCTCATGCACTTTGGTCCGTGAAAGAAGGACCCAAGAGATCATCGAACACACCATTCATTTATTTAACAAAGATTTATTGAGCTAAATACTTATCGATGCTTTATTTGCATGTAATTTTGACAAATTTTGTTATTCAGTTTCACAGAAAATACCAGGAAGTTAGCTGGAAGAGGACTGCAAAAGGCAGAGCCATGGATCCAGGATTGTGAGATCCTCGCCTGCAGCCTGACAGCCAAGGGAAAGCAGGAGCATCCACTGTCATACAGTGAAGATGCCAAGCCATGAAACAGACAGCAAATGACCTCTCTCCATCTGTTTGTGAACACGGGGTTGGGCAGAGGGTGCTTAAAAAATGTATGCCATGTGATGAAAATATATGTCTACACGAAAACTTATACATGAATGCTCATAGCAATGCTATTAGAATAGCCAGAAGGTGGAAACAATCCAAATGTCCATCAATAGATGAATGGACATATATTCATAAACAGATGAGTGTGGTATATCTATACAATGGAATATTATTCGGCCATAGAAAGGGATGGAGTACTGACACATGCTACAACGTGGATGACCCTCGACAACATTATGCTAAGTGAAAGAAACCAGTCACAAAGGACTCCATATAGTAGGACTCCATTTTTTGAAATATCCAGAATAGGCACATCTATCAAGACAGAAAGTAGACTAGTTGTTGCCCAGAGTTGGGAAGGATCGGGGGGAGGGGGAGATAGCTAAAGGATGCAGGGTTCCTTTTTGAAGTGATGCAAATGTTCTAAAATTGACTGGGTGATGGTTGCACACACACATATATATATACTAAACACCATTGAATTGTACATTTGGAGTGGGTGAATTGTACGTTGTGTGAATTATATCTCAATGAAGCTGTCATTTTTTTTAAATGTATGCCATATGAATGCTTAAAGCCTAAGCTTTCAGCCCTGTGGAAAATTGATTTTCCCTTTGGAGCCAAATTCTGAAACATCACTGGTCTTGGAGAAGGGGTAACAAATGAGGTTAATTCACACCAGGTTCTTAGTGATGTCTGCTTTTGTTAGAGTAAGAAAAGCTGCAGAAAAATCCGTGGGAGAGCACAGAATGTCCGAGGATATCGAGGGAGGGAGGAGAGAGAAGAGTTAGAAAAAAAAGAAAAAAAAATATATATATAGCACCATGTCCTGTCAGAGGATAAACTTGGGTTATGGACTCAGTCATCTAGTCACCTTAACCACCTTAGGGAAGATAATTCTCGAAATAGGGAGGGGGAGGATGTGTGATATAAATAAGCCTACTGTGTTTTGAAAGGCTGAGTCTTCTTGGAGAAAACTAAGTGCTGGTGTCCACAAAATGGGGCAGTTAGTCTCTTGCATTTAAGGGTCAAAGGAGAGAAACTGCCTGGTGGGGTGGGGGTGGGGGTAGTGCAGAAGACAATCTAGAATCTTGAGAGAGGGTGGGGGAGGGTACGGCCCCTCCGTTGTCTTTGGGGATGTAGGAGGAGGCCGCTAGCGCCCTTGAGACCCCCACGACTAGAAAAGGGGCAGTAGTTTTGTGAATTTTACAAAGCATAGATACCTGGGCCAGCCTGAGCCCAGCACTTCCGGGGCATCAGGGCACTCATGGGGACCAACTTGTGTGGCTGATGGGACCAGACACTAAAAATTGTGACCTATGGAAGCCTGTGTACCATGAGCCGAGCACCCAGGGTTGAGCAAATCACTGAGGGAATGCAACACACTGTCCCGGGGAACATCACAGCAGCGAGGCCGACAGCATTGGTCAGCAGCTATGGAAGACTGGTGTTCTTTGTGACACTGGGAGGCAGCAGCTACCACCACAGCAATGCCAGCACCAAGTGACAGTCAGCTGGGATCTTCCCTTTGGACTATATGAGGCCCACAATGTTCGCAGACTGCCTGGAGGGGCATGGAGGGGCCCAAGAGCTTGATGATGGATATTCTGTCCCCCTGGAACATGTGGCCCTGAATCCATCCTAATTGAACTTGGAAAAATAAGAGATGCGATGCGCGTACACACTGAAGTTTGTGGAGAAGTTCATGCTGGTTACGATGAGAATAATGAGCCCGAAAAACTGTACAGGACTTTGAATTTATGATGTAGTTTCACAAGCATCATCTCGTATGGTCCTCACAGAAGTCCTGTGAGAAGGTAGGTGGTTGACATTATTCTCTCCATTTATCAGATGAAGAAATTGAGGCTTAGTGAAGCTAAATGAATTGCCCAACATCACATAATTAATAAGTGCTGAAGCTCTGGCTACAGTCAGATATTTTGACCCTTAGTCCCATGGGCCTCCTATTATGACATGATGCCTCTCAAAGAAAGGGGGTACATAAGCCCCCTCAAACTTCAGGATTTTCCCTGGCTCTGGCCTGGAAAGAACGCTCATAGTCCAGGGCCATAGTCCTAAATAACTTCAGTTTGGCCCCAGCTGCTTTTCTTGCTTTAGTCCAGGGCACTCACTGAAAGAGAACCTCTCTCAATGCAGCTGGGCCCTCCAGCTGCGCCAGGCCCAGGCCCAGGCCCATGACTGCGCCCGCCTGCAGTGGCTCCTGCCCAAATCGCATACGCGCTGACCGAATCCTGCTGCGCCAATCGTTTCTGAGCTCACCGTGTAACGGAGAAGTGAGACTGTGCTTTGTTTGCCGGGATGTCTCCAATATTACTGCTGTCTTGCACTGTTAATTATCTGGGTCGTTGGTGTAAATTCTGTCTTCCTAACTGGAGTGGAAGTTCCTTGAGATCAGGGGCCTTGTTTTACTCACTTTTGACTGTCAGCTGTGTCTAGTGCATGGAGGGGGCCTGTAAACCTCTTTGAATGAGTATTTATTCCTTTCTCTCAGACACATAGTGGGTGCTCAGCAAATTTGTCAATTGCCTGGTTGGCAAATTTACTATTCTCTAGTCAACTCCTACGCCAAAAAACAAAAAACAGAAAAAAAATCAAGATTCTCAGCACCTCTGCCCAACCTGACCCTTACAGACCTATTTTCTCAGTCAGTGACACACTGATGACAGCTTCTCCCTACAGAGTCATGGTTAAAAGCAGGGGCCCTGGGGCTGCCTTGATTCAGGCCTCTCCATCAGTATTGGCTGAGTGAGCTCAGGCAAGCTGTTAGCGTCTTGCTTCCTGCCTGTGAATTGGAGATGATGAGGATGATAACAGTTCTTATCACTTTAGGGTTGTTATGGGGATTAAGTGAGTTAATATGTGCTTAGAGCTGTGCCTGGAGCACAGAGATGTGCTGGATAAGTGCGGCCTGTTAAGATGACAAGGTCAAGATTACACCTGCCCCGTCCGGATGGGGTATCCAGTCCACTAACACCGTGGGTTTTTGTCACCCCCCTTAGCTGAGCTTGAGGTAGATGAAAAGCAGATTCCAAAAACTGCCCCCCAAGAAGAGGAAATGACAGTTTAACAATAGTTTTCCTGGGAACCTTCCCCTCCCTCTTCAAGATGGGCTTTTAAAAAGGGACTATTCTGTGACTCAGTTGAGCTATTAGAGTCACAACAGGTCTTGTCATGCCTTATCCAATGGCAGCAAATCATCGCAGCCCAGCAATGATATTGGGAATTTTCTCATGCCCCCAAACTGTCAAAAGCTTTATAGGTTTGAGTGGGTGTCATTTCAGGGAGCCACTCTACTATCAGCCATCTCCTCAATCAATCACTCATTCATTCATTGAGTCACATATTCTTTCATTTGTTTAACAAATACTACTTAGCACTGACTATGTGGTAGATACATGATAAATGTGACTGCTATTTTCATTATATACTCTTGATCCTCCAGAATCCCCAAACAGATCCATTTCCTAATAGTTTACATCCTAGTCATTTACAGACAATAGACAAGATAAAGGAGGAAAATATGTAGTATTTTTAGAAAGTGAAGTATATGTAGTATTTTAGAAATGTGCTAAGAAGAAAAAATAAAGCAGAGAAGGGGATATGAAATCTCGGGGGATGGATACTGAAATTCTAGATAAATTGGCCAGGGAACCAAAGTCTGTATCAGTCAGGGTTCTGCAGAGAAACAGAAACACCAGGACGGAGAGAGAAAGAATGAGAAAGATTTTTTTTTTTTTAAAGATTGGCACCTGGGCTAACAACTGTTGCCAATCTTTTTTTTTTTTTTTCCTGCTTTATCTCCCCAAACCCCCCCTGTACACAGTTGTATATCTTAGTTGCAGGTCCTTCTAGTTGTGGCATGTGGGACGCTGCCTCAACGTGGCCTCATGAGCGGTGCCATGTCCGCGCCCCGGATCCGAACCCTGGGCCGCCGCAGCAGAGCGCGTGAACTTAACCACTCAGCCACGGAGCCAGCCCAGATTTTTTTTTTTTTTTGAGGAAGATTAGCCCTGAGTTAACTACTGCCAGTCCTCCTCTTTTTGCTGAGGAAGCCTGGCCCTGAGCTAACATTTGTGCCCATCTTCCTCTACTTTATATGTGGGATGTCTACCACAGCATGGTGTGCCAAGCAGTGCCATGTCCACACCCGGGATCCGAACCTGCGAACCCCGGGCTGCCGGGAAGCGGAACGTGCGAACTTAACCGCTGCGCCACCGGGCCGGCCCGAGAAAGATTTTTAAGGAATTGGCTCACGTGATTGTGGGGGCTGGCAAGTCTGAAATTTGCAGGGCAGGCCAGCAGGGTGGAGACCCAGGGAAGAGTTGATGCTGCTGTCTTGAGTCTGAAGACAGTCTGGAGGCAGAATTCCTTCTTCCTGGGGGCACCTCAGTCTTTTTCACTTAGGGCCTTCAGTTGATTGAATGAGGCCCACCCTGTTAGAGGAAGTCATCAAAAGGACATGACCGCTGGTTGACCCTCGAGCTGGACCCGGGCAATCAGATCCTCCTCACCCCCACGCCCATCCTTGGAATGTTTGTTCTGCCCGCTGTTCCCACACTAGGAGCTGGTTTCAAGGATGTAGTCTGGAGAGAGCAATGTGTTGTTGAGACCAGCTGGACGGTATACGTGACCGAACCCAGTTAAGGCCTCTACATAATCTTTTAAGATTCTGGCGGGCAGACGCAGAGATCAACTTGCCTTGTGGCCGCCCAAGACAAGCCTCGTATGTGAGCTCCCTTGCTTGTTTAACCTGCCACCTACTAATCTGGAGTGGCCTGCCTCTCGCTTCCGTCTCTCCTCGCCCTCCATGTACAGAGGCTAGTTTGTGAACCAGCACACCCACATTATGGAGGGTAATCTGCTCTGCTCAAAGTCTGCTGAGAAGGGGGCTTTTGAGAAAAAACTTTCAGAAAGTGAGAGAGTGAGACATGCAAGTAAATACCTGGGAAAGAGAGATCCAGGTAGGGTGAGAAGCAAGGACAAAGGCCTTGAAGTGGGAGTATGCCAGGCACGCTGCTGGAG